AGAAGTGTCTCTGAAGTGTCTCTGAAGTGTCTCCGAAGTGTCTCTGAAGTGTCTCCGAAGTGTCTCTGAAGTGTCTCCGAAGTGTCTCGGACGTGTCTCGGAAGTGTCTCGGAAGTGTCTCCGAAGTGTCTCCGAAGTGTCTCGGAAGTGTCTCGGAAGTGTCTCTGAAGTGTCTCCGAAGTGTCTCCGAAGTGTCTCCGAAGTGTCTCGGAAGTGTCTCGGAAGTGTCTCACCTCGGAGCGGAGGACTCCCGCAAAGATGGAGGACATCTCCTCGCACGCCTTGCCGGCGGGCGGCCCGCCGCGCGACTCGCCTAGACACTTCCGAGACACTTCAGAGACACTTCCTAGACACTTCCTAGACACTGCCCGCCGCGCGACTCGCCGAGCGACGGCGGGCGCGTCAGCGACGCGGGTCCGGGATGCAGCGGCGCCTGTGGTTGCGGCGCGGGCGGCGACGAGGGTGGCGGTGGCGCGGGCGGCGGCGAGGGTGGCGGTGGCGCGGGCGGCGACGAGGGTGGTGGTGGCGCGGGCGGCGGCGAGGGTGGTGGTGGCGCGGGCGGCGGCGAGAGTGGCGGTGGCGAAGGCGGCGGCGGAGGTGGTGGTGGTGAGCGCGGCGGCGAGGGGAGGAGGCGGTGGAGTCGGGAGGCGGGGGGCGGTGCAGCCGGCGGCAGGGGCGACAGCGGCGGCTTTCGGCGGCTTTCAAGACAGAGCTGTTGTGCCAGAGCTGTTGTGCCGTGTGGCTAGCAGCAAGTCGCTAGCAAGCAAGTCATGGGGCCGCCACCGACCAATAGGCGGTGTCCGGTGAGGCAGGAGGAGGGGCGGTGTGGTGCGACAAGCGCGGCGGCGGCAGGCGCGTGTGCGAGGCGGGGGAGAGGGGGGGTGTGCGTGTCTGGCGGGCGGGAGTTTCGGGGCAGGCGTCGGAACTGTCTCGGAGGTGTCGCGCACCGGCACCGGCGGCGGCGGCGGCAGGCAGGACGGCTGGCGCATGGCGCTGTAGATGCCGGCGAGGAGGGCGACGAGGAACTCGTGCGCGTCGTGCTGCTCGTAGCCGGCAAAGTGCTCCGACGAGCACCACATCGCGTGGATGAACGTGTGCGGCGACAGCGGCGCCTGCGTGCCGGAGAAGCACGCCGCAAAGATGGCGTCCATCTCGCAGCCGAGGCACGGCTTGAGGGGGCCGTCGCCGCCGCTGTCGCTCTGCGCCTGCCGCCGCCGCATCTGGCAGACGTGCCGGTTGTGGCGGTCCGAGAGGAAGAAGCGAGCGACCGGCGGGCAGTGCACGAGGATCTGGAGGATGCAATTCATGAAGCACGTCTGGCCGAGGTTGTTGAGCCCGCGGAGCCCGAGCAGCGACAGCGGCAACTTGAGCTGCACGCCGCCCTCCGGCAGCGGGGGCGGCGTGGGCATGAGGACGTCAACATCCACCCGCTCGAGCGCCATGAGGGCAGGAACTGGCAGGGCAAACCCCAGTGGTGACAGCCTAGAGCGCGATCTTCACGCCGAGCGCGCAGGGCGCGACACATCCAACAAGTGAAAGAGGTATGGCTAAGCGGGATGGGGGGCTCTCTCGAGGTTCTCGAGGTGGATATCCTTTGGCCGCGTTGGGTAGCGAGGATTGGTGTAACCCGAGCCACGGAGGCGTGTTTTCTGGCGGCCGACCGTCAGTGCACGGAGTTGCCACTTCTCCGACTGCCCCGGCTAGTTCCCGAGGTCGTCGGGTGTGACCCCTTCGTCCCCCGAGACCTAGCGCGGGTGGGTTGGAGGGGGCTCGCCCCAAGGGGAAGGGAGTGGGGGGCGCCCAGTAGGGCGCCGGCACCCCAGCGTAGAGGGCCTCGTGTAGCCCTCCCTTTGGTAATAAAAAAAAGAGGTAGCGCCTAGCCACCGACTACGCTGAGGCGACGAAGCGGAAGGCTAAGGCAGCGGCGTGCGACGCCAAAAACTGCGACTTTATGACGTGGGCGGCGAGCACGCGCGGCGGCATCGGGCACGAGGCGGCGACGTGGTTCAACACCAACTTCGACATCAAGGCCGCTAAGGCGTCCTCCGACAGCGAACGATGGCGGGTCAGTAGCGAGCGCAAGCGCTTCCTGCAAGTGCACTCGGCCATCGTCGCGAGGCGCAACGCCGCCATCTTTGACTACAACGCGTGGCCGAAGATGGGCGGTGAGATGCCGCGGGCGCCTCGAGAGCAGTACGAGTAGGGACGGGCGAGGGGGGAGGGGCGCTGACCACGGGCGACTACGAGTCGAAGGTTCGAGGACGACTACTCGCCGCCTGGGTCGTTTGGGGCGCGCGGCTCCGTCGAGGACCGGGCGCGCCCCTTACCCGGCGCGGCGTAGGTCCCACTCTGACGAAAAGAGGGGAGGCACGGTCGACAGCCCGATCCATCAACTACTCTCATCTTCTGGGGCTTGGCCCCGTGCAACAGCGGTCCGGCAGGCTGCCCCCAAGGCCCCCCGGGCCGCTGCGGGTTTGGGAGTTATGCTTAGGCACAGCTTCGGCGATGGCAGCCCCTCTCTGGGGTGTTGCATAGGCGGGGAGTCTCCCCCGCTGGTCTCCTCCTTCCCATTTTTTCTTTTCTTTTGAGAGCAGGACGCCGGGTTTGTCTTGTATGTGCATGTCGGGCCTGGGTGTGTGTGAGGGGCAGAGGGGCGGGAGCGTGCGGGGCAGAGGCCCAACGTCGGGCGGCTTGTCGGGGTCCTGCTTGCTTTCGCCCGCGTTTTACGACAACTCTCGGTTTCTCAATCCACAATCGGATGCATACACAAACAACAAGAAAGAACTCCCGTGGTAGTGCGCAAGCTGCCGATGGCTTCTAAAAATCTCTCTCTCTCAAACAACGGCCCATGGGGGGACTTCGTGAACTGAAGCGACCCAACGATTTTGAGTGGCAGCAAAGGGGGTGTGCCTGAGTCCGGCGCTTCCGAAGAGCAAAGCTGGGTCGAGGGATGTTTCTTTTTTTGTCGGTCAGTCCGTTTCTTCTTCCTGGCAGGCATGCCACATCTATTTCTTTTTCGCCTTGTGCGAGGACGCGTCCAAGGGGGGTCCGAGGGGGGAATGGAGGCTAGGGATCTCTGCCTCCTCTCCGTGGTTGTACGCCGACGGCCTCAACTCTCCTCTCCTGTCCGCCGCTTCCCGCTCCTCCGTCTCCGTCCGCCGCCTCCCCTGGGTATATGCTGGCACGAATCGGTCTGCTGCAGCTCTCACTGCCCGCCGTTGTCGGATTCGCCCCCAATCCCTCGGTCTCCGTCGACGACCTGTGCGAAGCTCTCGCAACCTACGCCAACGACGGCTGCGGAATGGACACGACGGGGAAGGACAAGCGTGCGTGCGTCGTCGAGCTGTCGGTCTTCTCCGGGAGCGATGGCGCGCTCAGCACCGATGAGGCGGTGGCGGCTCTCGATACGATCCCGGATGCCGTACTCACGGCAATTGAAGCGGTCGACGTCGGCGCGACTTGCAAACGCGAACACTTGCAAAGCTCTGGTTCCGACCTCCTGGACATGTTCTTGTACCGCGCCAACTGGAGGCTCTTAGTCGGTGACTCGGCGCGCCGCGGATGTGCTTCGGCATGTGCTTGCTTCGGCATGTGCTTGCATGAGATCACGGCGCCGAAGCGAGAATACATCCCCGCCGAAGCGAGAATACCAGCTACCGCCCGGGGCGCCGGAATGGGCAGTGTCTAGGCTGCGCGAAGCGGCGCAGCACGTCCTTTAGTTTCGGAGCCTCCAGAGACGCCGTGGGGGCGAATGGTAGTTTGAGTGAGGTTGAGCGGGACACGCACTACTTGTTCGACTCGGCCGGTGGGCTGGCTTAGTTATGCCGATCCGGCACAGGGGTGTACCAAGGTATGTAGACTCCTCTGCGTTACTACCAGTGCCTCTCTGTGTGCGTGTAGCGTTTTTGCCCCTTTGCTGCCGCGCTGTGCCATTGAGCGATTTGTGTGCTGTGAATGTTGTGAGCTGTGAGCTGTGAGCTGTGAGCTGTGAGGCCCGCCGCTATAGATTTTGTATCCCGAGGCGGTGCCCGGCGGGGTTGGACCCATTTGAGTGTACACATCTCCCTTTATTATTTGTTTATCATTCGGTCCTCCTCGTGTGGTGAGTGGGTGGGCAGCCGGTCTCCTCGGCCCACGTGATGGGGCCCAAACCAAGCTAGATCCTAGAAACCAAGCCCTTGTCCCGAATCCAGCCCTCTCCGTGCGGCGGTATCAGCTCGCGCATGGCTGCTCGTTCTCAGGGTGGCACATTCTTGTTCACACCCACACACGGGGGTAATCACGATTCGCTCCCGCATGAATGTGAATCGCCCAACGTCGAGCTGCGGCACGCTTGCCTTCACGGGATCGGCCACGCAGACCTCGACCTCTCGACCTGGATACTGGCTGGGCGTGGAGGCGGCGCTCCCCTTCTTCATCACGTCGTGCGCCGGGCAGCGCATGTTCCACGCCGAGGGCGAGGCGCACGCGGACTCACTCGCTCACTCGCTCGCGCTCTCAAACTCACCACCACCACCACCACCACCATCACCACCACCATCACCACAACCACCTCCGCCAAGGCTAGGGCTGACCATTAACAGGCGGGTTTCCAAAACTGCTTGATAGTAGTTTCAAAACTGCCTATTAGTTAACTGGTTGGGTTTTCAGACGGGTTGTTGAGAGGCTAGTTAACTGATTGGGTCGAAAATCACCCCGTGTTTTTGGCGGGGATCTGTTCCTTTTGAGGGCGCCTTCGTCTACCCTTTTACCCATCTCACAGCAGAGGTGACCGTTTTTATTTGTTATTTACCCCGTTTTTGCCCATTTTTGGTCAGAATCATTTTTGAGCGGACGGATTGAGTTGTGTTCGGATTGACAACCCCGAAATAAAGCGCGTGGTTGGTAAGGCCCTCCGCCGTGAGCACTTGGAGCACTTGGAGTGCAGTCAGAGAGTAACCTCACATCCAGGGCCGGGGAGCTAAGAAGCGCACCCAGCGGGCCGGATGATCGGCATTTGGAGCACTTCGAGCATTTTTGGGGCACTTGGAGCACTTGGAGTGCAGTTGGCAGCCTCACATCCTGAGGGAGGGTGTAGAGGATGTAGAGTGTAGAGCGCTGTAGAGCTGTAGAGCTGTAGAGCGCTGTAGAGCGCTGTAGAGCGCTGGAGCGCTGTAGAGCTCTACATCCGCCGCGGGACGAACTGCGTGCGTTGTAGAGCGATGTAGAAGCGCTCTACAACGTGAAATCTCTACAACAAACTCTACATCAAAAGCGGCGAACGAGGCACGGTCGCTCTCCGACATGAGGCGCGTTGCACTTGCCAGTGCTGCCCTGGCCTTCTGTCTGCCCGCCCAATGGGTGGCAGGTGCCTCTGCTGCTATGGCATGCCTCACGGCTGCGACTGGCCGGCGCCTCGGCACGTCAGCTCGGCTCGGCGTAGCGATAGTGGCCAGCGCAACTCACCTGGACTCAACGCTCAGCCAGGAGCTCCCGCACGCGCTGGCGCGAGGCATGGCGCATGCAACGCGCAGCAATGCTCGCCTCGCCTCGCGCAAATGCGACCGTCCTCGCCGCCGACAGTCCACCGCCTGCTAAAGAAGCACAGCGACGAATGCGGCACCGGCGACGCACGGCAGGCTGGTCATGACGCAGTTATAGGGTGTTGTGTGCCGTCAGAGTGACTATCTGTGTGTCAGGGATAGTCAGGGCCGTCCATCAGAGCTCCAGTAAGCTCGGAGACACCCCATTAGCGCGGCTCGACCTCTTTGAGTCACTGCCTTCCCGCGGTTTTGCTGTAGAGCCTCTACAACAAACTCTACAGCAAAATCGCGCTCTACATCGCTCTACAACGCACGCAGTTCGTCCCGCGCCCGATGTAGAGCTCTGCAGCTCTACAGCTCTACAGCGCTCTACACTCTACATCCTCTACACCCTCCCTCAGCTCACTCACATCCAGGGCCGGGGAGCTCAGAAGCGCACCCAGCGGGCCGGATGATCGGGATCGGGTTACGGGCAAGAGAGCCCTAGCCCCGGGGGTTCGCGTTCGCAGGGAAGGGGCCTTAAAGTAAACACGGGTCTCCGAGGGTTGGCTCCGCGCTCCGGGTTTCCCTTTGGGGAGTTTTTTTAGCGAACGAGAGAACCGCGGCCTGGAGCAAAGCCGGACGGCAAAGCCGACGTCACGACTTTCGTCACGAACAGGGTAACCATTTACACCTCGCTCGCCGACGCCCAGCCCCCGCGTGCACACCCTCCCACGGCCGGGGGCGCCATGTCGACGATGGGCGCAATGGCAGTCCAGACCGACCTGCGCTCGGCCGAGGCGCGGAAGAAGAAGCTCATGGGCCGCCGCTGGCTCGCCACGGGCGTCGGAACTATTGTGGCAGCGGCGACCGCCTGCCTCACCTTCCTCGCTCGGCGGCCTCTCGGTGCCGAGCCGGCTCTGGTGGATGGCCTCAGCGGCGCGTCTCCTCTCTCGGAGACGGGATGGATCAACCTGGGGTCCGCTTTTCTCATCGAGGACTGGCTTTGGGATGGGATGACGGCGGCGGAGCGGCGGTCCTACGACACGCCCGAGAATCCGTGGCGGTGGCACATGTCCAACTTGACAAAGGGGCAGATGGAGTCGCACCTCTCATCGCGCATCTCCCGCGCAAACTTCGCCGCTCTGGCCGCGTATGGCGCGCGCGGCTGCTTGACTTCCCTTTTTTTTTGCTCGCGTCATCGCGAGCTCCTCCACTAGGCGTGGGCGTCGTGCGCGTGCCGGTCGGGTACTGGAACTTTCTTAACGCGACCGAGCTGAGCTCGATGGACATGGGCGAGCCCCCGAGATTAGCCGAGATTAGCCGAGATTAGCCGAGATTGGCCGAGATGAGCCGAAGTGGACATGGGCGCCCGACGCCGGTCTCGGAGGAACCTCGCGAGATGCGCCGATTGCCCGTAGGCGAGCCGACGCCCGTCTCGGAGGTCGACCTCGCGCTGATGCGGAGGCTGCACGAGCTGATGAGTCCCCCCGAGTATGCGGTCCACTTCAAGCGGCTCTTTCGGCTTGCGGCCGAGTTCGGGGTGCGCCTTCTCCTTGACTTGCACGGGCTGCCCGGCTCCCAGAACGGAGAGATGCACAGCGGCATGCGCGAGAGCAGCAACAAAAGCACCTACGCTCGCGCCGAACGTGCCCACTTTGCGTCGGACGCCAACTGGAAGTTGGGCTGGCGAACGGTGGAGGCGATGGTCAGCCTGTGCGCCTCTCTCCAGACGACGCCTCACCTGCGGGACGTGCTCTGGGGCGTCCAGATCACAAACGAAAACAACCGGATCGCCTTCCCCGCCTTCCGCCGCGGCGCGGGAGCCGCGCGCTCCGGCAGGCATGCCGCACACGACCAACGAAAGACCGACTCATATGCCGAGTGCTAATTGGCTCAACTGGTTGCTGCCGCAGGCCGGCCTCGTACACGCCCGAGGCGACGGAGGGGTACACCGACCTGATGCTGTGGTACGACGGAGCGATCCGCAGGATGAGAGCGAGGGGGTTGCCGAAGGAGGTTGCGGTTGTGCCCTTTGCGTGGCCGTGGCAGACGCCTCCTTGGTCAAGAGGGGAGGAGGTTCAGCGAGGTCGGCCGAGCTCAGTGGGAGAGTGTCTCGAGCGTAGGCAGTTGCCCACGTGGAGCGAGCGGATGCGGGCGGAGCCGTGGCTCGACTTTGGCTCTGACCACTCGACGTTTGGGAAGGTGGCGCTTCGGACACGGCGGCACCTCTCGAGCGGACCTCGGGGCTCATCTCGGCTGACCTCGCCGCGCCAGGTGGTTTGGGACACGCACGTCTACGTGTGCAACACGAACTCGCCCGAGTGGACGCGAGGTCTAGCCGAGACGGAGCCCGAGGCCTAGCCGAGATGGAGCCTTGATCGCCGCCGGGCACGGTGCGGGGACCTCCACCTTCGGTGTTACGCCGTCGGCACGTCCTCTCTTCAGGCCGCGCTGCTCCTTTGGCGACCCACCCACCCCGCCCGGCGACCCTGCCCTCGGCGGGTGGGGCATGAGCAGCGTCACGGACGCCAGCGTCACGGACGCCAGCGTCACGGACGCCAGCGGCGCGCCACTCTGCCTGTGCAGCTGTCTCCGCCACCCCTCGGCCCCGCCTCACCTTGCCCCGCCTCGTGCGTGCGTTGCGCAGAGCCGGCCTACAACGAGGCCACTCCAGCATTGCCACCCGCTCCCCTGCCCGCCCCGAGGACAGGGCGGGCGGGGCAGATGTGCCGGCTCGCTGCTGCTTAGATGCGTGGACGCGGCACTGCCCGTACCGCGTGCGCAGTAGAAAAGACGCGGGCTCGGCTGCAGCTACGCACGGGCACCCCGTGCGCACCTCTCCGTGGCGCGCAAGACGCACGAGGACGAAGCATCGCTCGGCGCCACTTGCGAGGTATCTAGGTACCTCACTGATGTACCACCCCCCTCTCACGTGTACCAGCCCTCTCACGTGCTACCCCTAGATACCTCACGTGTGACCTCCCTCCTCCCACACGCACCCAGTGTCTGCCGGTGTGTCCGCAGCCTCAACCGTTCTGTGCGCGCGCGGCGTAGGCTCACGCTGCGCGCGTACAACGAGGTCCGGTATCTCAAGGCTTTTGTCGCGTCAGGCAGCCCCGTAAAAAAAGAGAGGAAATTCCCTTTTGGGGAGCCCCCCCCCCCCCCCCCCCTCCCGAAAGCGACGGGGAGACGGGTCTCACATGGAGCGGGAGGGACACGGGCACACAGACACGACACTCAGCCAGCAGGGCTGCCTCGCCGACGCTCCACGCCTCTCCAGCTGTGAACAGGCAACCGCGTCCTGGTCGGGGAGTGGGCGCTCGCTGGCGCTTCGTCCGCAGGCCGCAAGGCTGGCTACGGCGCCGGGGAGCTCGGGGCGGTGCTGGCGGTGATTGCCGAGACGGTGGCCCGCCTGTACGATGACGCCGGGGTCGACGGCCACTTCCTGTGGACCTTTGGCGGCGGAGGCGTGCGGGACATGGGCAGCTGGCTGGCGCAGAACGTGGGCGGCACGGTGCACGATGCAGTGGAGAAGGCGCAGGGCGTGCCGGGCGCGCTTGGGCGGGCGGCCAGCGCGGCGGGTGTGTTCCGCGCACTGTGGACGGTGCAAGGCGCCGGCGGTGTTCCGGCGGCTCTGGTTGAGGAGGCGATTTGCGGGGCGTGAGCCCGATCAGAAGGATCACAAGGAACGCTAAACCCGTACTCCGTCTCTCACGAGTCAGATGAGTTGTGTACTGCGGCTTGTGTGATGCGTTATACGCTCAGTACAGGGAATGTTTTTAAGGTAAACGTGCAGGACTGCCGGTAAACGAGCGCCGTGACTCCCAGAGGCAGCTCTTGCTTTCACGCTGAGGCCTGAGTCGCTCAGCCTGAGGCTGAGAAGAGGGTTCCTCGGGGCAAACGGGGCTTCTCTAGGGACTAGGCGTGCTTCTAGGCAAAACTCCGAATGAGAGCGTATTAATACGGTGTACGTAGGTCGTAGCTGCTACGGCTAGCACTGCCCTCGTGTAGCACGGAGGAGGTAGGGAATGAAGGAAATAACAACCCATCGAGGAGAGAGCTGATCAGGTGCAGGACTTCAAGGACTTCAGCACATAGACACATATCCACATCTCTCCCATAACTTCACTATTCTAGGGTACCATACTTGACCCCCCCCCCCTGGCGCCACGTCTTTTCGTGCCAAACCAGCGCGATCTCGGCGGGGCGTCAGCGCCTCTCGGAGGGGCATCATGCGCTCCCGGGGCCGCCCGACGGCGCGGGCCTCTTGCTGATGGACCCAGCCGAGGTGCCCGACCAGTCGGAGTGGCGCTGACGCGCCGCGCGCGACCACCAGCCAGCTTTCCGGCCGGGCCGAGAACGGTGCCTCGAGAATGTAGACACTCCAAACAGTTGCCGAGTTTTTTCCCTCTTTTTGAGCGCCGCTGCTGCACACCCAGCCCACCAGTGATACTAGACGCACCAGATTCACCCCGTCGCGAGCTTGACCGTCACCCCGGTGGCCGCCCACAGGTGGCTGATCGCGGCGCCACTCATCGCTGCTTTCGCGCGCCTGGCTCTCAGAGGGCTCCTGCGGCTCTCCCTCGTCGCGTGACCGCCGCCGACATCATGTGCTCGGTCGTCCCCGCCGGCGCGGAGCTGCGCCACGTCGAATTGTTCGGTAACTCGACCGCCGGCGCGCCCGCCGGCTCACCTCTCGCGCCGCCCCTTCGCACAAAGCCCGCTCACGCCGCACGTACTCAGCCATCGGCGCGACATCACCCCCGCGCAGGCACCTCGCGACGGGTCGGCGCACTCGTGCGGCTCAACGCAGAACTACGGAGCGACCTCCGCCGCGGCTCGGCGCTGCCCATGGCAGCAACAGGTGCCGCCCCACCACCCGCCTGCTGCCTCTGCCTCTCTCAGCCATGCGACCCCTCCGCCAATGCACACCTCGAACGCGACGTCAGATCCCGCTGCGACTGGCAACATTCGCGGCGATGAGGCCTCCGCCAGCACTGATCGTCACAACTCGTCTGTTACGCTACACGTTTTTGCCCTGTGCAGGTGAGCGGACCGCTGCAGCCGCAGTGGGTGTGAATCTCAGGTCCATAGCAATTATGCGCGCCTTTTTTTCACGACGTGAGTTTTTAAATCTCAGACTGCAATTGTGACCTGCCTCTTGACATCCGACCTGCCCACTCTGCTTGTGGTCCTGCCCTGCCGCATACTGCCGCACAACTGCCCTGTCCTGCCCTGCCCGATCCCCTACCTGCCCCGGGTGTGAAATCCACACTGCCCTGCCCTGCCCTGCCCACACTGCCGAGGTGTGAATACCTGCCCGCTCCCGAGGTCTCGGAGAAACTTCTCTAGTCCGTATATGTCCGCGGCGCGCCGCACGCCGCCTCCGCCCGCCGCGGAGGGCGTCGGCGATGTATCCGCAAGCATTCAGAAGGCCGCCACGGATGGCCAAGTGGGAGCGGTTCTGGCATGGGCCGACGGCGGCGTTCGAGTGCTGTGCGTACGCGGCGCAGCGGTTGCGGTTGCTGGGACTGTACTTGTTTGGGGCGCGCATGCACACTATTCACTATTCTTACAACAACAACAACATGTACACTACACATGCCGACCACCACGACGAGACACAAATGGGACAAGCGCCAGCGGATCAAGGCTGAGGGGTGGCCCGTCTACCGTCTACCGGTAGACCGGGTAGACGGTAGACCATTTGGTAGACGAGTCTACCGCAGTCTACCGCAGTCTACCGGTAGACCGTAATGAACCTACGACCCCAGTCTACCGGTAGACTTGGTAGACCGCGGTAGACTGGTCTACCCCTTTTTCAGCCGCCGAACGGTAGACCGCCGCCGCCGGACGGTAGACCGCCTCGGCCGTTTGAATATGCAGCCTCCAGTTCTCCACTCTGGCGCCACTTTGGCAGACGAGCGCCGGCAGATGCCCTCGCGGCCTGCCGGCGAACGTCCGTCCGGCGAGAACGCGCGATGAAAGTGCGGTCTGCCGCGCGGGCGAAATCTGCCGGTGAGAGAGGCTTTGAGCGCGGTCGCTGTGAGCTCACCTCATCCATA